ACACACACACACACACACACACACACACACACACACACACACAAGAATATAAGGTAGAAATTGCATTTGCTTGCTTATGACCCCTTTTGTCATCAAGAGATATGAGAAGAACATCAGATCCAGCTGAAGGAGGAAGAGACAAGTGAATCCTTGAGGATTGCTTGCCATCTAGAATAACCTATTTTATGAGCTCCAGCCCAGTGAGAGACACAGTCTTCAAAGACAAGGTGGACAGTATCATAAGGAATGATACTATATTGTTCTCTGACTTCCACAGACACACAGACATATACCAAAATGCATATGTACCCACACACATGTGCACCTGTGCACTAGAACATGAACACACATGCATGCACACACACAGGCAAGATCACACAGTGCAATTATCCTTATTAGGCTCTGATAACTTTTCTATGTGTCATGGATGACCTTTATAGGCACTGTGCTCCTGGCTCTGGTCATCTCCTAAGCCTTTCTTATCAAGTTTTATAGTACAATGACCCTTTACTTTTTCACAAATTTGTATTTTGCATTCTAATGGAACTGATTATACTCTTTTTAAAAACTCTTAATCCCACATCACTTAGAAAACAGCCTTGATGCTTAATTTTTCTCCTTTAGTAGTCCTGGTGTACACATGTAAATTGTTAAAATGCATTCAGCATGGAAGCATAGTTGTGACTTAATTATTTAAATTTAAGCCATCACATGTATTTTAAGGTTCTATTTGTTCCTGTCCTCACATGGGCACTGGGGATAGATCTGAGCAAAACAGAGCCATACACCGCAAGTTGCTCACAGACCATTCACAAATATAAGCGTATAAACAGATGTTCTGCAGGGAAAGCTTAGAGCACGTTCACATTCCAGCTCTCTGTGCTCCTCTGACAACAGCTTTAGGAGGACCTGAACTTCAAGAACCCATTGCCCTCACAGCAATAAAAGCCATGTTCCCTACTGCCTATTCCCACCTCTGACCTTTCTGAGGACAATGTTTCCAAGTTGGGCATCAGCAAATCCGTGAACAATGACCTCAGCCAAGGGACATGCCCAAGGGAGAATCTGAAGTGTCTTGTCCTCACAGACCTGGTAAACTTAAAGAGTGGGTTCTAAAGAACTCATCTGAACCTAAGCTCTCCTGTCTCAAAACAATGATAAAAACAAAAATTTCCACCTGGCAGAAGAAGGTGGTTCCCTGTGGCATCTCCATGTTTACTCAGTAATCCTGGCAGAGAATAGACTGGGCCTTTAGAGCATGGAAGTCCCAATTCCTAGATATAGTTCTTCTCTTGCCACAATGTCGAATACAATCTAGGTAAACTGTGTTTTCATGTCTGTCAAGCAGAGAGGCATCTGTACCTTATCCAGCCATGAACTCTGTGATGGAATAAGATCAGGAGGAAGAAAAGCCTTAGTCAGTATGAA